CGCATTACACGTGGCACCCGGAGCCACGTCGTGTGCCACGTGTATTGCGTGCAGAGGCTGCTCCTCACGGTTCATGTCCTCACCTCGTCAGAGACTTGTATAAAAACCAACATACGACATTTGGCCTTTGTATTGAAAATGAAGAGTCATCTACCAATGAATGTACGAAGTATTGAAATTTTAACCAATAAGACTAATGTCGGATAGAATTGTCATATTCGCCAAGTTATCCATACATAAACGACAAGGTTATCTCATTGAAATTCTGTATACCGGACATACATTTTCAGAATATACATTCACTCTGTTTATATGGAAATTTGTATTGAGAATGTCCGTTCCTTAATTATGTCCGGGTGCAAAAATTGATTGTTGTATGGAAAGTCCTTGCACAATTGCGTTCGTTCATTGGTAGCCATAACCACGTTTACAGCAATCTAATTGGCTAATCATATTCAAACAGCAGCTCCCAACTCCCATTGGTTGCTGAGATATCCCAAAAATGTGTGCGTTCCGTGAATTATGGCCATGAGTCAAGCCGTTTTATTATTATTGACTTCAATTCATTATGTAGTTTATTGATTATAAAAAGTACCTGCCATAGCTTATTGGCCGACAGAGGGGGCAGAATGACTTCTGCATGTGTGTGTTTCTCCGTGTAATGATGTCAAACCATTGTTCGAGTTAAAACTGCAATTACCTGTAATAACATGATTTCTGTCAAAGTTGCCTTAGCTATTCGGTGAAGCTCATCCTAATGTGAACTAACAGTAAGTACACTTCATTTTCCAATATACTATAATAAGTTAGTTATACGGATGCGCAGAAATTTCTGAACCAAATTTATTTAAATACGTCCAACCTGATAGCCGATTGGATCATTTGTCTTTGACCTCCGTCCAATCAGATTGACGGGCTACGTGCTTATTCAACGTCGTTCCCTGTAGTTACTGATTTCCCCCCGGCTTTTAAACGGCCCAAAGTGAATAATTTTTGAGAATTGATAATATCGACTGTCGAGGTGAACTTGAAATTTCAAATGTTTCAATGATGTTTGCATGTTGCCACATTGAAATCATGAAGCTGCGCATGACTTTGTTCGACAAGCACGAGCTGTATGCTCATCACATGAAACATCCAACCTCAACGTACTCCCAGTTGGCCGCATGGGCTGCTGAAATATTCACCCTTGCTTCAACACCAACAAAAGCTACCATTGGAAATGTACTTAAACGAAACGTTACGCTAAGCATCCGCGCCGACAACAAAGTGTGAAGTATTGACCGCCCTGTCGCACTGCCTGCTGTCGAAGTGAGCGTCCTTGCGTGGGTCCTCAAGTGCGAAGAGTTGGGCGATTGCATCACCGGCGAACTCATCCGCAAGCAGGCGTCGGCAACCTGCGACCAAATGAACGTCCCCGTCTCACAACGCCCCGCCTTCTCCAAAGTATGGTTATACAAGTTCCAAGTTAAGCACGGACTCACCAGTAAACTGCAGCATGGCGAGGGTTCATCTGTGTCCCCAGCTCTTGTCGCCGAGGGCCGCCAGCAGATGAAAGCAGCGACCAGCGGGTACAGCACCGCCAATACCTACAACATGGATGAGACGGCATTTTTCTTCTGCTTGTCACCACACCGATCGATCACGCGACACCGACAACCCGGGACAAAGGAGTCAAAAAAGCGCATCACTGTTGCACTTACCACCAATGCTGACGGCACCGACGTTGTTGACCCGCTCTTTATCGGAACTGCGGCACGTCCACGGTGTTTCAACGGGGTCGCGGCCTCCGACTTGGGCTTCAACTACATGTACAGCAAAAAGGGTTGGATGACCGGCGGCCTTTTCAACACGTACCTGTTACAGATGAACCAGCGCATGCTCGCGGAGGACCGAAAGGTCCTTCTCTTGGTCGACAACGCGCCACCGCATCGGCCCGACGACGAGTCCCTTCCGACAAACATCAAGGTCAAAATGTTGCCAAAGAATACGACAGCGCACCTTCAGCCCCAGGACGCTGGGATCATTGCGTCGTTCAAGGCCAAGGTCAAGCAGCAGCAGCTGCAGAACGCCCTGCAACAGATTGATTCAGTCATAAGTCATAAGTCATGGCTGGTAGGCAGGACGGACTCTATGAGGTACCTCTGGTGGAGGCAATGTCGTGGGCAAAGGATGCCTGGCGTTCTGTGTCACAGGCAACCGTGGTCAACTGCTGGAATCGGACAGGCATCCTCGACACTGAACTTTCGACGTTCAGCGAACACGTAGCGTCCATTGAGTTGTAATAATTTGTACCTGTATATTTTTGTTTTCTTTGAAAGTTGTTACGTGGCCACCGTTTAAAAGCCGGGGGGAAATCAGTATTATGGGAAGTCTGTCGACAGACAAGCTGTCGGTAACCATATGTTGCGGATATTTCATATAACCGGATTGAATTCAGTTTCCATTCATTCAGAAAGGAGCATCGATGTAAACGGGGCGATGGTGCACACGACAGCGCCGCACGTCGAAGCTACAAGCCACAAGCCTGGGCATCCACCACCTCATATGCTCATGTACGTCACACCACGTCACGATAGTTATCAATCAACCTTCGTGTTTACCTTCAAGTTCATTTATAGGCCCTCGATGATCAACACACTACCAGCAATCTCCTCCACATGACAGGTATGCATGTTCAATCATGCTATAAACATCGAGTTCTTGGCTTATATGGCCATTCATACCCTCTGGAGTCTAAAGGCCCTCGACGATCAACACACTACATAGATTTTCTTCCATATGACAGGCGTGAACGTTCAATCACTCTATAAACATTGAGTTCTTGGCTTAGATAGGCCATTAATGCCCTCTATAGTCAAACATTTTACAGTACATCGCTCGTACGAATCCAAAGCTTGCACCACCACCAAGTTTGTCCCACTCAGAGCTAGGTTGCTCTTTCATCGTTCGGTATTGGTAATATATAATGTATGTGTTGCTGATGAATATGCTGTTGAACTGTGTATCAAGAACTGTGAGGGCTTCAGTTCGTCGTGAAGCGGGTTGCTGTGTCGTGCAATGCCTGCTGATTACGTTCATGAAGAATTGGATAAATGTGAACACTTCTTACATTTGAATACCAAGGGCATTTCGGACCGCTTCGATGATTTGTACTTGTTACACCGTGACTAGTACAAGTCTTGCAGTGCCGCGTAGTTTTGTCGGTGGATTTTGAGGCTGTAGGCTGGATACTTCGAGATTGCTTTTTGTACTGCAATCGGGACAAATTACTAGTTGACGCTGTTCGCTTGGCTTGTAAGGGGGAAGGTCGAGCCAATGACTCCCATAGAACCATCTCTCCAAATAACTGGAGATCTCGCAAGTTCATGACAGTATCGCTCGGATGATCACATTCTACTTCTGTGTACCGGTAGAGCATCACAGTGTTATGTCGTACTTACACAGGTCAAGAAGGAACATTTACGATGTCGCTGCTCCATCATTGAGCCGTCGCTACATAAGAGAAAAGTCCACCGTTCTGTTATCGGTACTGTACTCCCGTGGCTTAATGTTAGTGTTGCTACTAGAGAGGGAGCAAGTGCGCATTCATATTACCCGGATAATTATCCGTCTGTATCAGTTCATATTACCCGGATAGTTAACCGTACACACGGATAATTATCCGTCTGTATCAGTGTGTTTCGTCGACAAGTTGAGCTGCCGACAGTTGAAAAGACTCTCCCGTTAGTATGACCCCCATCGCACTGTTTTTGGTCGAATTTACATTTACTTGTATTACTTCGAAGTAATAGATCGTGACTTCAAATCCCAATTGCTCAAGAATGAGAAAATACTTTGCAGTTAATTCTGCTAGCACCCAGAATATTGTAATACTCCGTATTTAGTACTACGTAGCACTACTGTGTAGTAGTACGAATGACACAATTAGTTTATCATGCTCTGGTGCATCAGGTCCATGAGATATTAGAGAGGTTTAGCAACTTTTCCACACCGCATCCATTCCGCACATTTTTGACAACAACCGCGTTATGGATACAGTCCTGACGTAAACTGACGTACGTGAATTTTTGAGACTTCTCCAAAATTATTTCGATTTGAAGGTCGCTGTTGTGATATCATACTTTATTTTAATTTTGAAAAACATTGTTAGTAACAAAACGATAAAAATTCGAAGTACTTTTTTTCAAAATGACAAAAAACCATTTTTCAGGGTGATGCAAACATAGACGCACTTCAAGTTTGGCAAAAAAGTCGACATATTTGATGCGTGTTTTTACCATTCTACCGTATACCTTATGGATCAGTACTCGTGATTTTGACTTATCGAGTTGTACCCAAATTGCTGTATGGTGTCAATAAAGTACGATTTGGTGGGGCTCTACCCAATCGCTTTATATTGGTCAAAGCTGTCCAATTATCTCGTTCTAGCCAATTAAACAAGTAGAAGTAGTAGAAGTAACCAATCCGAACGCATTGGAAAGAAATCAGACCACCTTATTGAGTTGTATCCAGTTCGATCAGATTTTACTGACATTTTCGGGGGTACAGATCCATAAGGTATATGGTAGAAGCTTCTAAATGTTAGTAATACAACCATGATCATGTTTGCGATGCCAATTTGAAATACATATGCCAAGGGGCAAGCAATTGACCCCAGTGCAAGTTAGTGCTGTTCAAGTCCTCCACAACAAAGGCAAAAGCAGCCGGTACATTGCACGTACCATTGGATGCAGCGAAAAAGCCATCCGGACTTGTCTGGCTCGAGACCCGCAACCAAAACCACCAAAACAATTCGGGCAGGAAGCCAAAAGCAACTCGCCAGGCTTCCCGTATACGATAAAAAATGGGCAGCTTGCCACCTACAACAACATATCATTAAGATAATTGATCGTTCAACCGCAAGTGCTTTACCATTGGCACGACATGTCAAAGCTGCCGTCAATCGGTCGGAGTACTTTGCGTCTTGTCGATTTCCTTCCAAAATTTCCTTGGCGACATGGCTTAGTATACGCTGGTCTCATCGACGTTGAGAATGTCCTGCAGCTCGAACTTGGCGTACTTGTTCCAAAACGTAGCGGCAAAGTCGTGTCAAATGGATTCAAGTTGCAGGGTGGCAGCTTGGTGTGGCATGGCACTCTCTGGGAGAATCGATGAAGGTCGGCAAAACTTTGGCAAAGACGCATAATGGACTTCTACGAATTTGTCGACTTGCTTGTAGCCATCAAGCCACTCCTTGTGGTTGACCTTCATGAAAGTTATCATGTGGTAAGATGTAAGAATGCATTCCTCACGACGAACGACTTTCATGAACGACAACAGTTCGTTCTTGAACCCTGTCCACCAAGGCTCGCTCGCTTGCTGTTTCGAGCGGTCGTTGTGAGCAGAAGGTGCCAGCCCTTCCAAGTCGATTGCAGTATGTTCTGCTTGGCTCACAAAAGACGGACACTGGCGGCATCAAACTGATGGAGCAAGTCTCGCTTGACGTTGATCGAGTACGGTTGCTCGTGTCTTGTGACCACCATCTGCTTTGTCGATGTGAATGTCGAGCACAAATTTGAATTTTGAAGATGCCAGATTGGGTATGATTGATCATTAGGGAGATTTCGGGATGTTGTATTTTTCTTAATTCTTAGAATTACCTGTAAATACCGATATTGTTAGAGAAAACTCCGGAAACTAGTACCAGATTCCGCCAATCGACCAATGTTTGAGGATTTCAACCGTCAGTGGTAAAGAGAGATGAGCGACAGCGAGGTCATGACCGTCGTTGGACCCGACGTGGAACTAGTCGTCCTGGATGGTTCGACGAAGTCGTGGTGGACTGAGGATGACGACGTGTATCTGTTGATCCAAACAAACAACGATCGACCGTTTTTGGCTCCCAAGAACAAGATGAAAGCGTGGGATGCAACCGCCTCACAGTGGTGACCAATATTTATTCATATTTATTCTTGATGTCCGAGGCAGCGAATTTCTTATTTGTCGTCATGGCTTGCACGTCATACTTATTCACTCTCAACCCTGCAATGAATTATTTATATCCCGCCCCCCGCCCAGATGAATAATTCAAACAGAATATGCAATGCATGTATTATCGAACAGGATTAACAGTACAGTAAGATAGAACTAGCTACCATACTCAACGGAGCGCATCATTTCTTGAACGTCTTCAATCGTCCAAAGGTTAATATTGGCATGCAAAAACATTTGCTCCTCGAAATTTTTCGGGGTCATGCTGCAACGTCGGTTTCCGATGGCCAGCGCTCACACATGTTCGACGTTGTGCACAAGAACCGGCAATCCATGAAGCCGCTCGTCACGCGCGTCACCTTCTTCTTTTTCAACGCCCGCTCGGCCAGAGACATCACAGGAAGCGCCACGGCCGCCGCGCTGGACTCGATAGTTTCTTCATTGCGCAGCTTGATCACGCTTTCACACTCTTCAGCTGTCATCGTTGTCTCGGTGCCGCGGAGGATCTTGACAATGGCGCTCTCAAAACTTAGGTATTTGACAACTCGCGCGCTCGGACCTAAACGACCCACCGCATCCGGATAATCTTCGATAACCGTATCGAAGACTTGGCGCACTTCCAAAAGACAGCATTCATCGCCTTCTAAGGCGAGCATAATCGAGTGAGGTCTTCTAGAGTGACTAGCAGGGCCGTCACTTCGCGATCTTCCACCACATTAAGTCGTAGCACGTCGATACTGTCGTCAGCAATAGCCAATAGAAATGGCTTAAGCTCAATATACCGTTTCAACATGTTGAACGTCGAACTCCAACGTGTCGCACTTAGTGTAATCGCACGTAGGGGGTCACACGACGCAGACGAGCGGCCGGTAGGGTAAAACGAAGCTTGGTCATTAGAGCGTTGACTTTGTAAATAACATTCGTGGTTGGTGAGCATATCGGACACAAAGAGGTTAAACCGGTGGCTGGCGCATCCAATAAAAGGCACCCCGGTTAGTCATGCAAAAGCTACATTGGTGGAGCAGTTATCTCCGACAAGTGCGATGACATTGCTCCAGGACTTCCCACACAAATCCAGGACGAACTCAGTAAACTCCACGTGGGCAGCTGCACATAGAGATTCCTCCTCGTTGATTGGTGCAAAAGACAGTAGTACTATAGAGTAGCCAATTGCATCGCTGGACGGGTAGGACGCAAACAGAGCAAGGTAATGGGTTGAGCCACACGACCAACCATCGAACACAAGGGCGAACTTCTCAGGTAGTAGAAGAGCCACCTTCTTCTCGATGTGAGCACTTAGTCCGTGCATGTACTTCATGAACGAAGTTCGAGAGATCGAGTCCAAGTTGGCGAAGCGGCGGACGGTTGGATTTGACACAAACGAACGCGCAGAAATGCGTGAAAGTGAGCTAAAGTGTCATACCGATATGGTAGAACTTATGAAGTTTAGTATGTCAAAGAATAATGAACAGTTTTAGTGCTTCATGAATTTGATACACATGTCATTACTTTCAAATTAGACTGAGAGATATTCGTCTAACGATGGCGGTTTCATTTCAAAGTAAGGGCTAATGTGATTGCCATCGTAGTAGCAGCAGTTGCAATTCGTGAAAAACATCGAAAGACATATTATCTTTCCTACATTCTGGAGCATGATTTTTTGTTGCATTTTGAACGTGATAAATGGCCACAGCGTTTTCATGCGCCCAAATGATGACCACTCAACAGAGAGTCGAACAAGACTCATGGCAGAGTTAAAGTACCGTTGTTGGGCGCTGATGCACTTGCCCTTGTAGCCCGACATGATCCACGGTAAAATACCTTAAGCCGGGTCGCCATAGGCAGGATAATCGCACCAGCAAATGACGTTTCTCGGTCGTTCAGAAACTCGACAAGTCGACTTTCCTTGAGCAACGTAGCGTGCCCCCAAAAGTGGATGCAAATGCTGTCGGTTGCAATCACACCCTGAAAATTCAGGTAATGGATTCGCTTGTGGTCACTGTAGATATGCCGTTGCATGTCCGGATGGTCGGCCAAGCTGGGTCGGGGTGATGCGGCAGGTTTGGACCTTGGATCCATCGATGAACGCAAATATGGTCTGCACTGGTGACCCCTTGGCTCAAATTGCAGCCTGGTACTCCGCAATCCGTGGAACCACAATGTTCGTACATGCGTTCGTTCCACATACCATACAGGAGGTCCACCATGTCGTTGAAGAATCGGCACAGTGATTCGCGCGACCGGCCAAACACCACCACCATGTCGATGTAGCGTCGTGGATAAGACAACCTATGCAATACAATGCACAGGGCCTTAGTGCCGAGGCAGCGGTCGTTGGATTTGGTGATGAAAACGCCCGGGGTCCGCAGCAGAAGAACCAGTCTGTTGACACCGGCGACGTCAAATCGGAACTTCAGGGTTGAATCAACGTCGGACATGGTGCCAAGTTGAAGCCTGGTGTTGGGGATGAATGGTCGTTCGATGGCAACAATGAAGTACTCCATGAAATGAATTCGTCGGCGCAAGGACATCGAGCGTAGGCGCTTGAAGATCGCAACGATGTCTTCGGGCGTCAGCATTGTCTATTATTAACCCCTGCCAGTCACTCACCAATACGGATAGGGAAAAATATTAGGCTCCGAAATCAGCTTGAAAATAATCGTTGGTTTGAATTTTCTTTTGAATTTGACGGAAAAAGAAAAAGAGGAGACGTCTCAGAAATCTCCCTATTGATTGGTTGGATCATGTATCATGCAATCCTTGGATTGGCCATTGAAGGCTTGTTTTCTATTCGTCAACGAGAAATTATATTATAATGTAGAATTAAATTGTTGTTTAAACACTCATTAGCTAGAAAAAGCAAGGTGAAATAGGCAATTTTGTATGCAGCGCAAGGTGAACCACCTTGCGAATTCCATAAATAATTCTGAAATTGTACAGATTCAATTAAATATATGTATTGATGATTTTTAGTTTTCATGTGTCTGTCTCATTTTGGATATATTGGACAAATTGGAAATTTGTCCAATCAGATGCCGTGAAATCACGAAAATCGCTGCGTAAATTCGTCACCTACCTGTTGCGATATATTCTACTCCTGTGATGGCGGTTGGTGCAAGGAGCATTGAGATAATTATGTAGGCTGTGCATGAGAGCAAGATCATGCGATGTGGTATCCCGGACTCGGTCAATTCGAACAGGTCTAGACTTCAGTAACATCACCACTTGTCTTCTAAACCAATGAATGTGGTCATCCCTCATTCCACCATCAGTCCGTATCGGTGCCGTACACCTCCCTACTGGAGTGGTCACGTGGTTGCGCGGGCGGGTGGCACAAGACGTCTTGGTGGCACCCATCGCAAGTGCTGAAGCCGCCACTTCAGCACTTGCGATGGGTTCCTACTGTACCAAGACGTCTTGCGCCACCGCGTTGGCCCACCAGATCCGTCACAGCATTGCGACCCAACCGAGGCCACAACACAATGTTAGCTGTAAGGGGAGAGCCACATTGGATATAGCCGGAGTGAACTCATCAGTGCACAATTCTCTGGAGCAGCATGACACAAAGCTCTACAAAATTCAAGCGTCCAAACAGTTCAAAATTGTAACCTCTTCTGCCAGTATTATAGCCAACCGTGTGTAAGAAGCAAGGTGTGATGGACTCTGATTGGATATAAAAAAGGAGTAAAGTGGCTCACTTTGCGAATTCCATTAACAAGTCATCAAATTATAGAGGTGGTCGTATTTGTTAGGGGGGTCGTATTTTCCCCCGGTTCGCTCTAAGTAGATGCGACTTCCAACCAGAACTATTGGTCTTCCACGCACTCCACTTTTTGCAAAGTTGGCATTGCCGATGTTCTTTCTGACGAGATTGTTGCACTTTCGTACGGATAGCATATGCGGTTGAGGTAAAGGGTAATTACCCGGTTACCAGGTTATCTGTCTGGTGTTACCTTTACCTTACCCTTTGCATTACCTGTTGACATCGATGCTTACAGTAAATATTCCTTACTTTTATCTTTTACCACACCTTTTACCAGAGGGTAAAAGGTAATTAATTACCTTACCTTGCCGAAGCCTAGTCGTAATCATCTTGGACAGTGGTAGTATTGTAAGAGCATCTCCAACGGTGTTTATATTTATATTTCAATTGGAAGTTACGGATATACTTCGAAGTAGAATAGCAGCGTCGTCCTGAACGCTTCTGAGTCGGATAACCGAGCTTTATTAGATCATGCTGCCGTTGCTGGAAACGTTACTATCGGGTTTGGACGTAGCCACCTCCCTACCCCATGACGGTTGGTCGAACCGCAACCTGAAGAGCTTCTACGTAGGCACAGCTCGCTGGAGAGATGAGTCTGTACTGGCGCCAAATAGCATCCTGCTTACGATCATTGATGTCGCATGCGGTACTAGTGTGAGCCCATGGGTCGCACATTCCCTATTTGCCCAAGGGCATGGGATATGGCGTCTTGAAATGACTTCTCAATGTGACTACCGATAATGGTTCTAACGCGGCAGCCTCTGTGTTGCTCCCTTTTCCAGCTCGTCAATCAATGCATTACTCGAATATGAGCACTTCAGCTCGCGTAATCACGTACGATGCGCCGATGATTCGGTGCAGCTGGCTGTCCTGCTCATGTTGCAGTTTACAAGAACGAGCACAGAGAAGCTACGTGACGCGTTGTTGAAAATTCACCGAACAAAGGTCATGCGGCAAGTGAAGTAGCCGCCGCCGGTTTTTCTAGCAAGGACTCACCGATGCGCTGGAACTCAGCACATGAAATGCTTGAAGACAGTACAAGCACGGCATGACTCGGTGACGAAGGAGCATTGTCCGATAATGAACGGAAGAAAATCTGCGGCGTGTCAGAGTTCGTACGACCGCCACGGCAAGGGATGGAAAGCCTTGCGGCTGATCTGCAGCCAACGCTTGACCTCGTCCCGATGTCAGTGAAGATGCTCGTCAAGCATTGCGATGACAGCGAAAAGCGCTCCAGGCCATTGAATCTCATCTTACGTACGAATCCAAGCTCGTACAATAACCGGCTATCATTTGCGCATACCTCAACCCGCAGGTTGTGAAACCGGCTGATGCAATCGAAGTCAAACATATCACTGACATTGTTCGATCTACGCTCCAACGTTGTTACTCTGTGGAGCTCGAAAAGTTCACTGCTGGGAGCTGGTCGCAGGACTTATACAATTCACTTTCTTCGCCGCCATGTTTCAGTCGACACCTGGTAGTTGCTAGGCTGGAGAAGGTGGCGACAAGTTGATCGGTATCTATGGATTGATGTCGTAAACGCATCTGGATTCGACGACGTGTTGTCGTGGTGGTCGACAAGAAAGGAAAGCCTTGCCGACCCACTATCAGATGGCTATTGAATACCTTGGGACCTGCAACTTCCACGCCATCTGAACGCATCAACAGCATAGCGAGACGCGAATTCACCACAACGCGACAGTCGCTATCGTCATCCACCTTCATCATGACTATGTGTGTGCTCTCGTGGACGGACGCCGGTTTTCGAAGATGCCCAAGGATCGAGCGGCGGCAGCGTTTGCGCTTGTCACGGATGCCGCAATCGACCAACTTGCGAACGAACAAGAGGGCTGAGACGAGGAGGTCATCAACGACCGAGCTATCCCGATGCTTAACGAGTTTGACGAAATTCTTACCAAGGCCCCCTTGGATGGCGCTTAGGAGACACTGTTGCTGGGATGACAGTAACGCTCAATACATCAAACGTATATTGAATGTGCTTCGTACAAATAATACAAATATTTTCAGGGCTAACAGTCTTTTAATAGTACTGTCAATTCAGTACTATCAGTCCTGTCGCCAGTCAATAAAATATCCAAGTACTGAAGAATTACATTGATGGATGCCCCGTTTAGATTATGTGGTCACTAATGTCCCTAAACTGGCCCTAATTTACGCCAAGTTTAGTGAAAATTTGTCAAATCATCTAATCTGGGATATACAACATTGCCAGTTGCAAATTCAAAATCTCTCTAAACTGGGACATACAGTCTGTACTAGTATATCATTGCCGACTGCAAATTCAAATCATGACACAGTATTGTTCAACAAGAATACGCTGACCAAAGAGTTAAAGCCCCGTCCAAATGCAATTTGGACTTCTAAAGCACAAGAACACTTTTACACCATATCGTAGAACAACCTGTCTCGTCCACATTCAAAATTTGGCTCTTGTCGTACTCGCTGTACTTGTTCCAGAACGACGCAGCGTATCCGAGCCACACGTCGTCAAGCACTTGTTGGGAGAGCTTGCTTTTGCATGGGACTCGATGACGGAAGCGGTGTCGATACGAAAACCTCAACAACAGCGTACGGAATGAGTTGTACCCGACAGCATCATTCTTTTTTGTTGACAGGTAGTCAACCAGCCACGGCCGGTGGTGTCGCTTGACCCATCGCATGAGATGGAACACCCGGACATATCGCTCGGTGCCTCGGCGGTCTCGCATGAACGCGAGAAGTTCGTTCTTGAACGGTATGAGCTCTCGAAGGCCCTGACCACCCAACGTTGCCAAGCGTCCGTGTCGCTTGCTTGCAAGAATCTTGGCCTCGTTGGTTCTCCATCCTTGCCAAGTCGAGAACGCCAGTTTGTTGTCGCGGCAGAATTGACGCTCGCTCACACCATGCGTGGCTTTGAACTTGTTCAGGAAGAACTTGCGTTCTTCATTCTTGTAGCTGTTTTGGTTGCGCTTGCGTGGCCGCATTTTTTGGAATCGTTGAGTTGGTTGCTGATCACTTTCAAATTTTTAAAACCAGCCAATCACATGTAGATTTTGACGTGATTGATTTAATTAATTACAAATACATTTAGCCAATCAAACGAGGATATTCTACTTCGGCACATTTGGAATTTATATTATATTTGAATAGTGCACCTGACCGAGTTTAGCTGCAAGTCACTGTACCTACCTCTGTCCGGAAGTAGTTGCAACATTCAGAATTATTTAATAATGAGTGTCAAGATTATCAAAATATCGAAACTAGAGGTATGCTTTGCTAGAGGAGTTCAAGGTGAATACGAATAAACTAATACCGTCCCAAACATCCCAAATCAAAAGCATGAATCAAGAATCCAAGTTTATTATTTTATCCAAGATATCCACGATGTAACGTATTTATCCAGAGTGCGGCCAAGTTTGATACTTTATCCAAAGGCAAATTTCATTGCCATGTGTTGTGTTTGCATTTGTGTGTATGTGATTATTGGGAGCCCCCCATTGGTGAGAGCCGCCTTTCGATAAGTTCTTGTACATTATGAACGCCCGCAAAGATTTCATAACTTTGAAATTCCACTCCACCGCGTGTCGAACGCGGGGCCCTTGAAAGGCAGCCGCCACGACGTGACTCTGCTTCGTGTCAGCAATTTACAAGCGTACTTCGAAATCAACGCTGACATATTCAGCGGGTACTATATCTACAGGGACCCCGCCTATCCAATTTCAAAATGGATAATAAACTTAAAACGTTTAAATTCCAGCACCTTAGCTTTGATGGCCGACTCTTTTTTCGTTCTCAAGCTCGATAGCTAAAATCGCACTGTTTCGACGATTATCCGATGCTGTCTTCGTTTTTGGTTATTCGCCATCGCCACTTTCAACGCGTCGTTTCATGGTCTTCATGGCCATTTCTCACACGAACTGCCAACTTGTTCCACCTTTTCCTTGTCGTCGGTCACATTAGCACGTTGGACGCCGCGGCACACTTATCTTCGTCCAATAACGCCACCAAATCATCCAACAGCATGTGCTCATCAGTGTCCTCCTCGTCGACCCCATATAGTTTCTCAGGCACTGTATCGAAGCGATGATGCTCGTTCACCAAGGCAGGAAACGATTTTTCACCTTCCTGTCATCAACCACCCGGCCAAAGCACTCATAGCTTATTAATTTGACGGGCAAGACCTGTCACGTCGCGTGACTTGACCTTTCGCTGCAGCAAAGCGAAGTTCAGCAGCCACTTGCACTAACGAAACTTGGTCTTCGTCCAACATCCAGTTGCATAGCTTCTCTGGCAGTGCCGTGGCTGTTAGCGCGTTCTCTGGGAATGGTAAGCCTCACCCTCACCCGCAGATTTGACGGTTTGTAGTGACTATCTTTTTGAATACTTTGCTTCAATGATTTGAGATTATCAGATAATTAAAAATTTGGGTGCAACTCTTGCGAGTTTTTCCCCAGTACGACGAGGGAATTTAAGGTTCATCGAAGTTCTATGTGTAGCGCAAATTTCACGATATGATTGGATAGCGTAGTTCGAAATTCGAAACATATATTATAAAAATTCACCAAAAAATTAAAGTATTTTGTGATTTGCTGCTGCTTGGCTGTAAAAAGTGTATGACACTCAAAACTTCGATGAGCCTTAAATTCCCTCGTCGTCTGTACTAGTATGGAGTATTATACGTCATCTATAAACTACCAACTTTTCACAAAATTTTCTGACATCTATTTCATATTCATTACTCAAAATTTCAGCAAATAGAGACGTAGAATCGACAGATCTCAATGTGGTGAAGAAATTCTACGTCTCAGATTCAAATTTGGTGATGAATTGATCCAGAAATAGATATTTAACCTAGCGGTATTTTACATGGACGCTTGGATATTTGGTCATAGGGTAATTGCTCCGACATTGTGCCGACATCTCCGACAAATTGAAAGGCTAGGATTGGCTAGAGTTATCCGGATAATATCCAATCAAAATAGATGCCGGAAAGACTTTCGAGAAGTTGCCATTTCACGTTGCGTGGTCGGTGGAGCACCGAGATGACATGACCATCCGACGTTGGGCCATGCAAGTGAGCGGTGTGTTGCGGGGCTCCTGAGCACATGTGCTCTTCTTCCTGGCACAGAGCGTGTGTGACATTTGATCGCCGCCTGAAGGTACTGCCGCTGCCGCGAAAGGAAACGACATGGAGCTTTGTACCACGCCGCTTGTTTGAGCCGCCCAACTTCGAAGACCCCACTTGGTTGGTCTTGGGGTATTATGTGGCTGTCCAACCAAGTGGGGTTTACTCGACAAGGACATTCCCGTGGCAACCATCTGAGCACAACGCCGGGAATTCAAAGTACAAGACGATCAACCACGTGGAGGGGCAGCAGGGGCTGTCATCAGGGGGGACCGGTCACGTGGTTGATGTTTAGTTCAACATTTTATGGATACAACGCGAAAACGAGTGGTCCAACGGAGGTATTTGCCATATTTTTGCACATATTTTTGTATTTTTAGGAATTTGAATCCCTCTCTTCCCCACACGTGAATCACTGGTACCAGCATGTTCATATGGAAGGTACATTTACGTAGGATATTCATTGTTTTTCGCGAGAACGCCGGACATATATCCCGCTACTTGGATTCTTTTGCTTGCTTTTTTCACCCGTGTGCCATACCACTTGATTAATTGAGGCGTTAACCAGTCAAGTGAGTAATACTAATGATCATTGTGTATGAAGGCTTTAATTAAATCCACGCTTCAATGATACTCGTCAGATCAAGCGTACATTACTCAGACATGTTTAAACCATTGTATTTCCATGTGTAGCTGGAGGAGTATTTGCGTCGGCCAAACCAGTTCACGCCAGACATCCCTCGATCCCACACCCGTCGACACCACACGCTGCACCCTGCACCACTCCTACGCCCGTCGACCCCATAATGTGCCCCACCTACACCCTTTGACCACACGCCTCGGCCCCGCATGCTGCGCCCCACCTACACCCCTCAATCCCACACGCTGAGCCCTGCGCCCCACCAACACCTGTCGATCCCACACGCTGCGCCCAGCACCCCACCTACGCCCCTCGACCCCGCACGCTGCGCCCCATACACTACACCCCACCTATGTCCCTTGACCCCACACGCTGCGCACCACTGGTATACAGTCATATTCATCTCTGTATCATATTAACAGTGGTCGACAGCTGTGAGGGGGCCTGCAATAAAGTTATCAATTTTCGAGGATTTTTGCGTGCTCTGAACACAACACCTGGACAATTCAAATTGACCAATAAGAAGTGACTTATTCGATTACATCTCTCATTTAAATGTATTACTGCTACTTTCGTCGATGTCGCTGTCACTGGCCCTGTCACTTTCGCTTTCACTTGCATCGTCCTCTTGCTGCTCCTTGATGTACTCCGCACGCTTGTAGAGTTGACGGTCGGCCTTGTTGATGCAGCCCTTGATGCTGGCTGCCTGTAAGTCCTCGAACGCTCGCTTCAGCCTCACAAGAACGTTCCTCATTAACTGTCCCCAATATATCTAAAAGAGTTAACCTGGCTTTTGACAATTGCCCATACAGTCTCAATAGGTTGTAGATCACTATGGTAGGGAGGAGTGTAGACAACTTGATGGCCAGCAGCTTTGGCCATCGACACAACCTCTATGTCAATTTTATCGACATGTACACGTAGTTTTTTCCACAACCCAGCCTTCGTTTCATTTGCGTATGGAATTCCATACTTTGTGCAAGCACTCTGTAGCACACTTTTCTTTTGTCCATATTTAGGTGTACTAGTATCCACAGGGAGACCTTTATGATATTTTGCATTGTCCATCACTATAACAGCATTGCTCAATCCAAGATCTTTCATTTCTTTGATAAGTTTCGAGAACCAACTGACGAAATATACATGGTCAAACATTCCATGATAGTCCTTTGTTTCATGCCTTCCGGTACGTTTTCCACCTTGAAAAATATCTAAAGACAAAAGCTTGCTATCCATACAAGCACTATCCAAAATTGCAGCAATGAAACAAAACCTTTCACCTTTGTGCTTTTCTTTGACCTCAATGTCAAAATCATCACTTGGATCATACAATGAATCATCATGTCGACTATAATGGTTATGATTGTAGCTCTCATCTAAATATACAACAGGTCGTCAGTTGACATCACCATTCACAGTCAACAAATCATACATTACAGAAACATATAAATCACGATGTTGAACATTTACACCACACAACCGCCTGCCGAGGCTCTTTTTCTTCTTCCCGCGCTTGTAGCCGAGTTTAGCCAGGACCCGTTGTGTCGACTGTCAGGCCGCTTTGGTGGAAATATCCGACTCAGGATCGAAACACAAATTGCGCTGGGCCCGGAGGAAATGGACCACGTCCTTGGCCACCGTCCTGACACGATCTTGGAGGCGCAGCCGGACGAATTCTTGAATGATGCTCACGATGGTGGGCGTCATCGGGAGACTTGTGCGAGTGGACATGTCCATCGTCGGGTCAGGTTTGGTGACCGTGCCACCGGTTTCCAAAAAGATCTTCCATACCTCTTGGACCAACTGTGGCTTGCGACGCAGCAGGCATGCGGCGGTTCGACTTGCCTTAGGCGTATCGTCTTGGCGTAGCATGGCGTTAACCAAGATCATGTCGAGCATATCATGATGCGTGATCTGTCGTGGACGCGATTTCTTGACATAGGCGATGGCGCGATCGGTGTCAGTTGGCTGTGGGGGACGTGATGTCATGGATTGTGCTGTTAACGTGGTGTCGAGTACATCACGTTCTCAGCACCAACCATGGCATCATATCACACAATAGATGCATTGTCTGCACCTGTGTTGGTAATGGTGAGCCTACCCAAATAGTTTGATGCACATTGGCACGTAAAATATTGAATGTAAAAGGTTATAGCATAATAGGATGAAATTTGACTCAATTTCAAACTTTGGGGCATTGTGTTGGCGAGAGTATTATGATTTGAGGAAAGTGTTTAATGGGTGCATTGTAGCCCTCCGCTCACGCTACAGACGCTTCATCAAAATATTTTCATCATTTTTTTCGAAAAAAAAGTTATGGCCAAAGGTCCCCTCACAGCTGTCGACCACATTCTTATCAAAGAAATGAAAGATCTTGGATTGAGCAATGCTGTTATAGTGATGGACAATGCAAAATATCATAAAGGTCTCCCTGTGGATACTAGTACACCTAAATATGGACAAAAGAAAAGTGTGCTACAGAGTGCTTGCACAAAGTATGGAATTCCATACGCAAATGAAACGAAGGCTGGGTTGTGGAAAAAACTACGTGTACATGTCGATAAAATTGACATAGAGGTTGTGTCGATGGCCAAAGCTGCTGGCCATCAAGTTGTCTACACTCCTCCCTACCATAGTGATCTACAACCTATTGAGACTGTATGGGCAATTGTCAAAAGCCAGGTTAACTCTTTTAGATATATTGGGGACAGTTAATGAGGAACGTTCTTGTGAGGCTGAAGCGAGCGTTCGAGGACTTACAGGCAGCCAGCATCAAGGGCTGCATCAACAAGGCCGACCGTCAACTCTACAAGCGTGCGGAGTACATCAAGGAGCAGCAAGAGGACGATGCAAGTGAAAGCGAAAGTGACAGGGCCAGTGACAGCGACATCGACGAAAGTAGCAGTAACTCCAATCCGACTGTAGGCGTACAATTCTCGCCTTTGTATGCGTTGGAAGTGTCATTTACCGAGGGACTCCAGCCAGCATCATTATTGAGTGATGGCCTACCACGTTTGATTGGATAACGTGTTTTGGATAAAACCAATTTGCAGCCGATGATTTTGAAATTCGCACTGCACAAGGTTGCAACCTATCCAGGTTCTAAATTTTAGGTTGCGGATAGAATAGAACTGGCGTTTGCGAAATCTGTCTACTGTAAATTTTCTCGGTTTACGGTCGTCAGTAAACATAAACACCAAATTCCCGGATAACGTACATTTATCCGAAATTGTACCGGATACAACAATTGCTATCCGGGAAAACCGAAGTTTAATTTTATTGCCA